ATGTATTATGCGGTATTGGAACCACTGCAGTTTGGTGTTCTTTGTTGTTTCCAAACAGTTCTTATAGATATCTTTCCAATGTACATCAAAATTTGACTTTGCGGTCCATTTTTCATTTGTCATTCGTGTAACTGGCTTGTAGAGAGTTTGATAAAAGTCTCTACAGCCTTTACTATGTTTGATAAGAAGCTCTATTGCTTGAGGCAAAAAAAGGTGAGAGGTAATCTCAAGAACATCGTTATGTGTTTTAGTCATAAGCCTGTGCTTAATAGAATTTCGTATACCGTAAAATGTAAGCGCACCACAGTTTTGTAGGCTAAATTTTTGTTCAAATTCTTCCTTTGTTAAAATTCTGTTATTTTCAAGAAAATCGCCAACAATTTTGACGCCTTTGTTAAACCAATTTCTTATAAACACAGGCTTGCCCCCAATCTTAAAATTATCATTATACCAAATCGGCTCCACAGATATTATACTTTTTCTTTCTAGTAAGCGTGTTATCACTAATTTCCAGAAAAGCAGAACATCTTTCCAAAAACAGTTACTACAATCCTTAATAAGCTTGACTAAATACGCATTCCCAAAAGCAAATATATAACTTATCAAAAATAGCTTGGAGAAGTGGGGCATATGTTGTCTGTCTGATAAATTCTTCTAATCCAAGTACATTTAAGAGAAGCAATAAAGTCAAATAAATCTAACACCTTGTTCATAATTACCAGTTATTACACTCCTTTTCACTTTTTCCGTCTTTTTGCCCCATATAAATCGAAAGAGTATTGTGTTTAATATTTTCATGTATGTTTCATCTGGATTGGGAAGGGAAATGAATAGGTGGTTTAACATGGGTACAACAAGGGTTTTCAGTACAGTGATTTTGCCAATGGGCGTCAAAGGTCTCCTTTCCCATTGTTGCAACATTCTTCTAATTTTTACGATGTATTGTTCAAAATTTTTATCATATCCTGCAAATTCAATGTAAATTCAATACCTAACAAATTAAAACTGTCATAAACCCAATTCATCTTCCACCTTACATGGTGAAATACCTCCTTGCTTAACTTTTTTGCGCCAATCCAAATAAGTTTAGTCTTACTCTTATTTATCGCCAAACCTGATGTTTTTGAAAAGAAATCAAGTGTATTAAATGCTTCAAGAAATGAGAGTCTGCTGCCGTTGAGAATGAGGGTAGTGTCGTCAGCATATTGTGATATTCTAAATTCTGTATTCTCTGTCTTTATACCAGTAATATCACTATTATTCTTGATCAGTAACGAAAGTATTTCAGCACATAAAATAAAAATGTACGGGGAGAGGGGGTCACCCTGGCGGCATCCTCTTGAGATTATGAAGTATTCGGATAAATGACCGCACTGACTAATGGAGGCCCTGCAGTCGAAATTTAATATCCTTAACCATGTTTTAATTGCGTCACCAAAATTGAAGAAGTCCAGTACATTAATTATAAAGTCCCAGTCAACCGAATCGAAAGCTTTTTCAAAATCAATCAAAACAAGCAAGCCTGGAATATTTCGTTTTTCTGTGATGTGCATTAGGTCATATATCAACCGTGTGTTTTCTCCTATGAACAATTTCTATTTTGTCGTAAAGGGGTCCAGTCCAGGTCTGCATGAATTACTTAATGATGCCCGCATGCTTCCAAATTACTTGCTTTTAAAATTAGCCTAAAGTTTAAATTGACCTTAATTATTGTAAGAGTACCGTTGGAATACTCAGAATGCGCTTGAATTCGCCTGGAATGATAAGTGCACTTTCGTCTGTTTTAGCTCTCAAATGCAGTTCGAATGTATTTGGAAAACTAGGAATATCTATAATGCTGTCAGAAGGCAACTGTTTCTCTATCATTGTTTGATATGTAATTCAAAACGATAGGAATAGTTTATCTTTACGATCTAAAGCCCAAACTTAACCAAAAGCCTTCTTCATACTTAAAAGCATCAAAAGAAATTAATTTAAAAAGCTGGATTACAATCTCTCGGGCTAACTTCACTGGTTGGCACGTGTCATCTCACATTAATTAACAATCAGTTCAGGTTAGCTCTATTCATGGTGGGTAACCACAGTGATTAAGCTCTGACTATTACATAATCACTACTGTGTGACACGCGTCGTCTAAAATTAATGTTAACATTGCGATGACGCTCTTTAATCCAAACTAATCAATTGCATATAATTCTAAATCAACTGACACGTGTCAACAGGATTGTTTGTGTATCTGGACTTCCTAAATGGCCAATAAGTATTTTGTATAATATGACATGTTTATGTCACTGATATCTGTGCCATCGTGTCACCTGCCAAGTGAACGGTAAAAATCGACACTCAGATTTTCCAAATCATCACAATTCCAAGATGCCTCTTAAGGCCCAGTCACAAATCAGTTGCGTCGGAGATGGGTAAAACCCGGGAAATTTGAACAAAATCTTGAGACAGATCTCACGATTTTGCACCCGTCGGAGGCGCTCTCCGGACGCCTGCGGGTTGTCGCAGATTTTTTAGACATCGCCACACCCGTCGCGGTCCCCAACTTTGAACTTAAAATTTTAAGATTGCTTGCAAGATTTTTCACCCGTTTTGGGCATCCCAGACACAATCTCCGATGACCTACGATGCCCTCCGATTAATCGGAGGCGTCCTCCGAATAATCTGAGACTAGTCGCAATATTCTGTGTGGGATTGGAAAATCAGGTTGAGATTCAATGTCTGCGAGTAGTCTCCGGCGCCNCGGTGGAATCGTAGTAAATCGCCGTGTATAAGGGCGCCTCCGACCGGATCGCTAAAAGTTTGAGACGCTCTTGCTGCAGGAGGCTGTGACAGAAGATTTTGAAGATGCAATCGGAGGCGATCGGAGCCTAATCCCACGATTTTTCGACAAAACCGGGTCAAAATCCTTGAAAAAATGTGACTGCTCCACTTTTATTAGGATTATTGCTAGGATTGTTCAAGGATTCTTTATTTTCTACGACGACTCCCGGCCAAAACTAATCCCCGACAGATCGCCGACATTGTGACTGGGCCTTTAGCGATTACGTGCGTCTGGGGGCTGAAATCAAACATCACCTGCGTACGTGTGTTAAGCCTACCACGAGAGAACAGCTTGTTGACGGCATTAGAGAGGCATGGGAAAATATTAACGCAGAAAAGTGTAATAAATATATTAATCACCTAAAGAAGGTTATTCCAGCGGTAATTGAGAGAGAAGGTCGTGCATCAGGCTACTAAACTAGCAACACATGTAATAAAGGTAATGAGGCATTGATATTTATTTGATGTATTAGCTATTTAAATTTTTTCCATTTTAACTACGCTTTTGTTGATCGTGACTTATTATCATCAAATAAAATTGTTATACGTGTTTTAAAACTAAGCCTGATTTGTTCTTCAGAGTTTTGTTCTAATATTCGACTTGCCTTTACTCGAGTCTTCTGTTGCAGTTGATACATAACCCGGTATTGTTTGCTCGTGTCGATAGCAATCTCTTTGCATCAGCTATAATAGAAACCTTAAGTGAGGCAATTAAGAAGGGGCAGACCGTGTTCGTTGAACCGACTAATTTGGGTGTCCGATAAGGATTGCTTGGGGATTCCCCTACCCTGTAATTATCATACGGCCTCTATTGTTCGACCATATGGGGCAGGGTTGGGAAACCATACGGCCATTTGGTAAGGGGACATTCCGGCGGCACTGTAGCTCTCGGCCGTATCTAACTTGGGCTGGTAGACTGGATTAGTCTGGTGTGTGTCTGGATAGTTACCACACCCCCCTGCCGACCTGCCTTTCCACTGTCCTCTCAACTGGAACATGGAATAAATCACCATAATTGTGGACGTGTCCCCATACTGTATGATTGAAAAACATCATATGTAAAGTAACAACGTTTAATCATCTTGTTTATTATTACGGATTCAAAAATTTGTCTTCTAGTTTCGACCGACTTTCTAGTCCTTATTTTAATGTGTGTCCTCTTATCAGCTTACCGCAACTTTTACCACAAGGCAGTCACATTAAATTTTCAAACGCCCTACTTCTTCAAGATTAATTCTTTTCACACTTGCCACTTCCAACAATGTAGTCCTTAAAGCCAAACGATTTGTTATTTTTTGTAATCGTTTTAAGTATTTAAATTTCTTTTATCTTTATAATATCTTTATATTAATTTTTTTTGGGGGGGTGGGGGGGTGGGGAGGGGTGTTCATTCATTCAGAAGTACCAATTTATGTGCGAATTTATTTTTTATGATTATTGTAAGTTACATCTCCGGCACTTAATCACGCGGTTTTTCAAAGAAGCATGATGTCTTCGTTAGAAAAAAAACATGTTTTGTTCCGGTTTGGTGTCTGCTGAAAAATAACATCTACAAGATATTCACTAGAAGTTAGGCATGTGTTCCTGCTCCTCGAATTGCTTTTTTCCTTCAGACTTTCGGAGAATCGTGTTTTACTGGCAGTAAACAGGATGTGTTCATATTGACTGAGCTTCACCCTCATTTTTAAATATATAACAGGCATTGAAGCAAACACGAGTTTGTATTTTATTTTTTGAGGAATGTTTTCGATCAAATGTATCAGTATAAAGGATAAAATGACTAAATAAAAAGCAGACCTTATATCCACGCGCAGGCAAAACAATTTTAACAGTAACAATGGTAATAAGTATATATGTCTTGTGAAGTAGACTTCGTGGAAGATATGGGGTGTACCCTGAAATTCAGGGGTCACTGCCAACTGGCGTCTATTAATTATCAGTATGTGCTTTCGCCGTTCTAATGATAGATAACTAAAAAAGGGGACATACACTAAACACGTGATATCACGTACGTGCACTCACACATTGTAATCAAGTATGATATTAAACTCATCAATTATAATCAAAATTCGTGTAAAAAGACAAAAATCCACATGAGGTTTTGTGAATCGTCTGATTCAGGATGTTTTGTAGGAACTGGAGCAATTGACGGGTGCTTTTATTTGTAAAATAAGCTGTTTGCCAGTCACGTGAGTCCCTGGTCTAAATAAAGGCCACATGAAGTGCATGTAATTATGTCACTAATTACATGTTATCGGGATTATTCCGGTTTAAGAACAGAAAACGTGATTAAATCCAGTCGTCAGAACTGAGGTCAGTGAATAGGTTCAGGTATTGTTATTAACCTTTTTAGTCTTAGAATTAAAGTCATTTTACACACGCATTAAAATTTAAAGTGAATGAATGTTTGTTGTTACGAAAAATATTTCATCTGGGTTATGTTTAAGGGAGAAAACAACGGTGTTCATACTTTCTAATAACCCTGTTATATCATATACCCTACTTCAGTTTTAAACTCGTCCGTATCCGCTTCGTTTTTATTGATAAACAGCACGGGCAAAGAGCGGCATACAGCAGGGCAAAGAGCGACATACACCGGTAGATTACAACTCTCATTTCATAATGGAGGGAGTGCGCTTGTTGATTGTGTTGAAGCTGGCGGCACTTGCCATATTGGTAGGTCTCTCTCTCCTTCTCTCTCTCTCTCTCTCTCTCTCTCTCTCTTTTTCTGTGAGGGAGAGAGATATACTTTGTTATGTATGCCTTTATTATTCACACTGTGTCGTTTAATTTAGATAGAAGACCAGCATGTTTCAGAATAAATATATATTTTGGAAGAAAAAAGCATTTCAAAGTAACGACGCATTGCTCTTTTTGCTATTCGTGGTTTACTTAAGATATGACACACTTAAGGATGTTCTTATAGAAGAAAATCGGTGAGAACAGACGTGTTTTACAAAATCTTCTGTTATTCAACGCATACCTTTTCTATTGTTAGAGCAATAATTTTCAGCAAATCTTATGATTAGGATAAACGAATGCCTATCCGGGTTGCTTTTATTGCTAAACAGTATCGCTGCAGAGGAAAGAGCGGCATAGATTACAACTCGCATTTCACAATGCAGGCCGGACGGTTGCTAAATGTGTTGAATCTGGCTGTGTTTGCCGTATTTGGTATCTCTCTCTCTCTCGTATGCCTTTTTCATTATTCAAACTGTTTAATTTAGGTAAAAACGTAAGACAGACCAGCGCTTTTCACAATAAAATTAATCTTTCGATGAAAATTATTTCAATATAACGGCACGTTTATTTTATTTATTTATTTATTTATTTATTTTTTTGCTATGCATGGTTTACTTAAGATGTAATACACATACAAAAATGTTATTATTGAAGAAAATCGGTGAGAACTGTGGTGTTTTACAAAATCTTCTGTTATTCAACGCTTACCTTTCCTATTTATAATTGCTTAAATGCTGACCTTCACCAAATCTTATGATTAGGATAAAACAATGCCAATATCCTTACGACAGTTTCACCCGGTGTGATCCCGGATGCCAGCATCCACTGAACAAAATACATTTATGGCTTTGATATGAAAAAGGGAAAATATATAACTACTATTCTTACAGCGAATGCAATATAAACAGTAGGGCAATAGTACTTAGATTTCAGTTTCGTTGTAATCTTATAAACTAAACATTTACAGAATATGGACCAATAGTATCAAGTCTAGAGTATTATTATTATTGATGTCTGTAATTCCGACGTAGAACCATACTTTTTTCTATAAAAATTACAACTGACTTCATAATATTTCCCTCTTATTATTTCAGCAGACACGTGGATATACAGGCAAGTTCATCGTCGAATCTCAGATCGATCTAAATAGTTCATTTAATCGTTTTAACTTTTTTAAAGTAAATTCAAACGTTTGAAGGAATAAATATTAAAACAGTCCCGATAACTTAGAGTGCATTCCCAGAGATTTAGATCGACCCATCCGGATCGACCTAACTCCCTGGGGGTTCACGCTAAATTGCAGTCAGCCGAGCTCGCACGACAGTTGATTACCCCCTTTAGTAGGCGGGACAGACGCTAAAGACGGCTAAGCTGACAGTAATCTAGTAAGACTCCCCACAGGGATAGATCGATCTAAAATCTGTGTGAATGGGGTCTTAGTTTAAGCAGATCAACAGAACTCATCTCAGTAATTAAGATGCGTGAGTTGAAATAGCATATATTCGAGTCAACTTCAAAGGCTTCATACCCAAGACGTTATTAAGACGTTATCTATGAAAATATTTTGTTTTAATGTGTTTTGTCTTAGGTTATAAAACAATTAATTCTTAATTTTCTTATTATAAGAACCTTTTAAATATATATACTGATTTATTTAGCAATACTTTTATTAGTGCTTTGATACAAAAACCTTAATGCACTCAGTATTAATAGAAATTTGATTAGATATGACTATAGCGTATATTTGTATATAGTTATTAGTCTTCAAATGACGCGTGAACTTTGCTATGTTTCAGTAGACAAATCGACATACTAGTTTCAGTCAGGTTTAGATTTTAAATTTGTTTAGGTGATAATTTAATATGATGACACGTGAGATTTTTTAATCTAGCCCAAACCCCCTGTGACATGAACAATGGTCGGTGCAGTGACATTTGTGTCCCCTACCCAGACTTTCAAATGCCGTACGACGATCTTCCGACTGGATACTTCTGCGCATGTCCAAGAGGGAAAGCAGCATTCAGAGGGACTCTGTGCTTACGTAAGTGTTAATGCCTGCGTGTGTGTGTGGGGGGGAGTATGCGTAAGTGTCAGTGAGTGGTGTGTGGGTGGATTTAGGGGACTTGGGAGGGTGATTGGGGTTGTTCTGTGATTGTTTGATGTCCAGTGAATGTTATTTTTATTTTTATCATTTATTTTAGAACTATTTATTTAGTGTTTGCCATGACACTTGATCAGGATGATATTTGTTTTTGAGTCGCACAGCTGAATAGCTATAAATTGGCTCATTTACTGTTATACCTAATTATTTTTGTATTTGTTTATTTACATATGAAGTAACTATATGTGTCACAGGTATGTCCTAGAGTTCATTTTATTCGAAGGACAATAACAAATATTTTGAAACACTCACAGTAGGGGCTGATTTACAATCAATAAATAAATATTTAAATAAATAAACCTCCAATAAAATTTTTGGTCGAAATATCTCAAGTTCTTATTTGGATGTAAGGCGTGTGGCGCTTAATTTAAATAATAAAGCAAAAGTAGTTGTGATACAATCCCTTAATATCTTTTAAATACGTTCTCTTAGTCTATTTTTATTAACAGCAAGAGCACATCCCTGTTTTGACCCCCGCTTTTGCAGGGGGTTTGAAAAATGTGTCCCCACAGGAAGCCGAGAGGGATACGGTTACAGGTGTGACTGTATGGAAGGCTATGTTCCACGAGGAAATGGACGGGGATGCCGGCGTGAGTGTCGTGTGCTTTATTCTAAGTTTTATTTATTACAGTCAACTGCGTTTGTGTACCCTGGTCTATCAAGAATTTTGCTATCCCCCCTCTACCTGTATTGGCTTCGTTCAGCAAAGCTGCAACAGTAGATAACGGAGGTTTTGCAAAACCTATAGCGTAGGTTGCTTCACCAGCACAGTCTTGCTTATCTGTAAAATTTTTAAACACACTTTCGTCAGTTTATGGGAAGAATAAACGTAACCAAAGTCAAAATTCAACAATTTGTTTACATCAGTTCTTGCAGAATTCGATCCCTGTGAAGGCAATGGCGGGTGCAGTGACGTGTGCATATCTAATGGGATTTCTCGCACGTGTAGTTGCCGTTTGGGTTACAAGCTTGACAGTGACCAAAATACATGCATGGGTAGGCAAATCTTTCAATTTTACATGATGCACGAACGTATTGGCGCATGTATGTTTGTGTGCATTTTTGCATTTGTGTGTGCTTAAGTTTTTGTTAACAAATTCAAATTAAGCATACATTGTGCTTCTAAAGATTATTATTCTACATAGAAATGTCGAATCTAAGAATGACACACTGTGCATGTTTGTAAGAGTAGTTTTGGTGTTCTGCAGCTACTCTTATTTTCAAACCGGAAGCATTGGCCCCACCTTTGCTCACAACACGGCCATACGAATTTAGCTTACATAACATGCGGCTTTAGTAATTCAAATCCATTAGCCTTAAATACAATTGTTAACACAAGCATAATCCATTCACAGAAAAGGGTTTCAATGGACATATATTAAAGTAATACATACTTTTCCCTTGTGCTTTTTACCCCCCATGCAGATGTCCAGCCACCGACCATAACCTGCCCCAAAGTTGACCCAGTGATGTCTACGAACAGAGAGGTCTACGTGTCCTGGGTCCAACCGACGGTAACGGACAACAGTGGCAAACCCGTGACGGTGATCAGCAATTTAAGTCCAGGGAAGTTTTACTGGGGGCGGTACAAGGTAGTCTACGACGCCAGAGATGAATCTGGAAACCGCGCAAGTTGCTCTTTCACGCTTAACGTAGGACGTGAGTGATTGCCGTGTTTATGTCAACTGCTTACGAAAACATTATTTGTCTTATACAGAAACGAATTAATGTTTTCCACTTCAAGATCATATTTCATATAGATCTCATATTATTAATGTGACAAACCCATTGTTTAAATTGACTTATTTTGGAAACGTACTCATTTCAGCCCCCAAGTGCCCTGATCTCCACACACCTATCAACGGAGCTGTCAGCTGTGACACTTCTGGTTTTGGAAAGTTCTGTACTCTTCAGTGCCAGAACCCGTACGATTTTGACTTGCCAGCCTTTATGAGGTCCGTGCCATATTACTACGTGTGTGGATCGAGTGGAACGTGGTCTCCAACCATCCAAGTGCCCGACTGTACTCGTAAGTGCTGGTTTTTAGTGTATTCAAATAAAGAAAATAATGTTTCATGTGTGCACACGGAAAGTGATTTGCAACCGTTTGTCAGTAGTTACAACTATGTCATAACGTTTGAAATACACTGAATAGCATCATTATAAATTCAAATAATGTATTTGTAATACACTAGGGCATATCTTCAATGTATTTTTCACTTTTACAGGATACCAGAATCCAAATGGCAACCTCGTTCGGACCTTATACTACGATTATGAATGCCCGGATCCTAGGGCCCGGAAGCAAATCAAAGAAAATGCTGTGAGCAATTTCAAAAGGTCGCCTTTTGGATTGGTATGTAATTGCGACGTCACAGTCAAAGACTTCAGAGTTATCTGCGGCGCCACCAACACCAGTGCTGTGCGTGGAACACCAGGTCAAGGTAAAAGGTCCAAGTAAGAATTTACATTTGAGGGAAGATAACGGCTATGTGATATTTCCGGAATGAAATCTTCACTGTAGTTGGTGCTTATGGCACAAGGTATATCTGTGTACTATCAAACATGTGATTTTGCATGAACTGCATGTTAGTCAATGATAATAAGAAGAAACAGGGATAAAATAAACATGTTAACGATAAGAAAAAGGATTGTTTATGATCAAAACTGGGGTAGCTCACAAACACAGATATTCAACAATAATAATAATTATTATTATAATTAGCTAAATAACAACGTGATGTTTTTTTTTTCTTTGAAAGCATAAGTATGACAATTTGGTTGTATATTTACCATGTAAAATTCCACGGAAATGTTTTTATATTTGATTTTCTTTGTTTGGGGAGGAGAGTATTACAGCTAGGGAGCAGGGTGGATATTTGCACTTGTATTTGATTTTTGGTACAATTTTCAATTACATGACTTAGTTCTAAGCGGATTATGATCCATTTAGACCGTTATCTGTGTTACTTACATTTAAAAAAGAAACGGCAAACGAGTTTTTATATTTATTTATTTATTTAATTTGCCAAGTCTGAATTGGGAAAGCTAAGTAGCTTTGCTGGATATCTTGTCTGAAACTAACGCAGTTTCAGCATTATAAACAAGACACATCTAATGTAAAATATCGTTCGTCTTCATCCAACTTGAAGAAAACATCGCCACCTTTGTCAAAACAAGCCAGAGAATAGAAATAGGTCTATATTTATATATTTTGTGTCATAGAGAAAATCAAGTAAAATTTAAAAAATACAGTTGAACAGTTTTATTATTTTTACCATGACTACAGAACATATTTGTATGTATTCTAGACTAAAAATAAATGTATTATTATTATTATTATTATTATTACATCACTTTGTGTTTTCTAAAGTATGTTTTCCCATCTTTATTTCAGGTTCCAAGTAAACCCATTCCGGAAGAACGTGGCAGGGTGATTGACAACTTTGCTGGTCGAATACAAACTTGTCGTCGGCGAAATTTCGGCCATTTAGAACACGTGTTGTAAAAATGCATTCTCTTAGCTTCGACATCTAATCAATGTTTTTCTAGTTGTTATTATATCAGCTTCAAGGAAATGTAATCCTGCCTCAGATTTTTTTTCCAATGATAAATCATTATCATATTAATCGGTCCCATGTGTTTTATTGTAAATGGAGAGATCATAGAAACAGTTGACAATTTTATCTACCTTGGTGCAGCAATCACAAACGACTGCAATGACAGCAAAGAGATAAAAAGGAGACTTGCAATTGTCAGAAAAACAGTGATTAGTCTCTCAAATATTTGGAAGGATAGAGCCATTACGATGTGTACGAAACTTAGAATTTTGAAGACTCTTGTATTCCCTATTGCAACATACGGATGTGAATGCTGGGTGGTGAAAAAATCGGATGAGGATGAGAACCGACTAAAATCATTTGAAGCATGGTGCTACAGAAGGATCCTGAGAATTAGTTGGAAAGAACGGAAGACAAATGAATGGGTCTTGGATAAAATTGGAAAAATGACTCTTTTGAACAGCATCAATAAGCGGAAACTGTCCTTTATGGGGAATGTAGCCAGAAGCACAGGGTTGGGAAAGGATATCCTGACAGGCATGGTCAATGGAACTAGAAGGAGAGGGAGACCGCGACGGAGGCTGCAAGATTATATATACACAGCAGTGGGCTTGACAATGGCTGAACTTTTCAAGGCTGCTCAGGACCGGGACTGTTGGAGGCGTACCGTTGCATGTGCTACGGCGGGTCAGCCTTGACCCTTCCGTCTCTGATGATGATGTGTTTTGAGACACCTTGTAGTTATTCTTCAGAGTCTAACCTGAAATACGTTGACAATATTTTTTAAAGTAATCCGGTGGACGAATAATATAATGCAACACCAATCGTCATAAAATGGTAGTAATTTATGCTTGATATTTGGTGGTAAATATCCCGAGTGTTTTCACTACAACAAATTACGTGCACTACTTTGCATTTCCTTTCGTGAATAAAGCACTACTTATTTTCGTTAAGACTTATGCAAGTTTTTTGTTAGTGTCTTTGCCATAAAGGGTAAGCGACAGACCATCAGAATGGCTTGAACGAGCTTATCCTCCAAAAGCATGCCCAACTTTATCAAAATACACAAATCAGAGGTTCATTAAGTAAATATCTAGCTTCTTTAAAAACGCGTTCTTTTCAATAAGTCGGGTAGTTGATGAGCTTTGCAGTCACGTGGTCGGATGGCTCCAAAGTAGCTGTTGCCGTCTCACAGGGGAGGGAGCAAGCATGTTAATCTATCAAACTGAGTCTAACCTAAAGTACGTTGACAATTTCTTTGAAAATAATCTGGTGGACGAATAATATAATGTCATTATCTAGCTGTAAATCTGCGTGAAACTATTTTCCTGCCTAATTAATTCTTTAACTAGCATTAAATAACGACTACCCCAACTGGGTCAAAGTCAGGCAGTCGAATGTCTTCAGCGCATCTTAACAATATTCGGTATGGAAGACATGTTTAATTGTGGAACTCGAAATTTCCCCATACAAGTTTGAACCATGGAGTCCATAGAGTCTGAAAGTAACGCCAAAAGTTGGCGTATTAGACAAATCTGAGTTTGACAGGGGGAGGGGTTAGCAAGTCCTTCACGTACGTCTCCTACCCAGGGACACCTACACAAAAACTTTTTTTAATTTCGAAATTAATTGTTTTCAAATACTTTGGAAAGAAACGCACTAGTTTTTTTTTTCTTTTAGAAATACTTCACCGGTTTATTGTAATCTTCAGACATTTAATGATAAAAAAAATCAAATCTACCACCATGAAATTCATTTAGTTGGCAATTGTAACATAATATTAAAAATATTATGATTTTTGTTAATAGTAGAGGTCAAAGAACTGAATATTTTGTCCCATTCTATTGGCAATCGTGAACATTGATTTTAATACACTGCATTCTGACAGCATTATCGACATTCCTGGTTTTCCAACTACATTCGAGCTGCATTTAAGAGCTAATACAGCCGAAATGTGCATGAATCATTCCAGGCGGATTCAAGCGCATTCTGAGTATTTCAACGGCATTCTTACAAGAATTTAGGTCAGTTTGAAATTTCTCCCCGAATGTAGTACGAATTTTGAAAATTCTTCATTTCGGCTGGTTCTGCTTGGTTCCTGCTGATTCATTATAAGTGTGACGGCCCGGGCCTTAAATCAGTCAAGGGCCAGATTATGTGCACTTCATTCAGTCGTTTTCCTGAGTACATTCCAATAGAAAGATAATACAAGGCGTCCAACTTTCATTACATAACCGAAAGAAAATATTTTGCATATTAAAAGCATGACATTTCATTGGACCTTTAATTCGGTTATTTACAATGGCGTTAAATTTAGTAAGAAGGGTGTTACCGTGTAATCGAACATGACAATATAATTCATGGATAAATTAATGTTAGGCTCGAATGTCATCTGATATGAAAGAATTTGTGATGACGATGCATAACCAACAATGCTGTAAATGTTCAAGCTGGTTAATGTATAATAAAACAAACAATTGTTGCTCCATTTTTGTTCACTTGCACCTACAGTAATATCTATAGATAGTGCATCTTATCAAAATTGACGTGATACAGTTCTGTACATATATACATGGTCACTTTCACCTCTCATGTTCAGATATCATGTGATAGACTGGGTGTGCTACATGTCTCATATGTCGCTGTTCCACTATTGACTGTATGCCTTTCCAATGCCATGATGTGACAATATGGCCAAGGCATTGGCAGCGGCTCTCACGGATAACATTTTGACGTGTAGCACCTGTCTGGAAGAGTATCAGGACCCCCGTGTGCTGCCTTGCTACCATACATTTTGCCTTGCTTGCATATCTGACCATGCCAAGGGAACTCTCACTACAAAGAGGACATTTCAGTGCCCTGTTTGCCGAGAAGACGTCCAGTTTCCACCCGGTGGACTCTCTGAATTAAAAAAGAATTTTGCCTTTTGTAAGGCCAAGGACATAATAAACCAACAACAAACAGAAAGAGGGGCACCAGAAGCCGCTGCACAATTGACCAACGGTTGTGAGAAACATCCTGGTAATGAACTGAAATACTACTGTGAAGATGATGATACCGTTGTTTGTGGTGATTGTGCGTTAAACTATCATTACAGGCATGCTATTTTACCTGTAGGAACAGTTGCAAAAATCAATAGGGAAAAAATCAAAACTGACCTTGTTAAAACCGTGGCAAAAATTAACATATTCAAAGAAGCCGCCAGGGAAGCAGCCAATGGATTTGAGGACCCCGATATCATGATTGCCATTATCAACAGCATTGAAAGACAAGCCCATCATGTATGTAGATTTATTAATACGAAAAAGGATTCATTGATATCAGACGTTAAGTCAGCCTATGATGCCAGGAATGAGCAATATGAGGCAATGAAGGACACCCTCGAACTTCACCATGCCTCCTTGCAGAGTGCCTGTGACTTTGCCAAACAACTTGTCGCAAATGGCACCGACTCTGATATCATGGCACATGGAAAGTCTCTCACAGATAAACTGACAGCATTGGAAAACATACCAGTACTAACAACAGACACACCTGCGGAGGTATCCTATAGTCCTGGTGAAATATCTACTGCTGAACTGGAAGCCATGTTAGGACAAGTGACAGTACACTCAAAACCCCCGTCAGCTGGACAGGAAACACATCCAAGATCATCACCGAATCTGCCTGTTTTCTTAGAGAAGGTAGAATGTGTATATTCTTTTACTGCCAAACTTAAACATGATAAGAGAAAAGATTTTATGTGTTGGAACTTAGCCATAGATGAGGAATGTATATATGTCATATGTGTCATATATAGTGAAAACGTCAAAACAAAAGTACGAGTATTCACACATGCAGGTCAGTTCAGGTTTGAAATAAAGTTAAACAAAGCAATTCATGTGGCTGTGTCACAGACTGGTAAAATGTATGTAACATCAGAGGGTGACAAACGAGTCAGAGTGTACTCCACCACTGGTATACATATAACAACCATGGGTCAGGGTCAACTGGAGAACCCAAGTTGTATCGCACTGAACAGACAAGGTCATGTGGTGGTATGTGACGTGGAAAAAGAAATCATATTCACATTCCACGCAGACACTGGACAGCTCCTGAATATAATACCACTCACTTTGCCTAAATATCCTTGTTACATCACAGTGAATAGCGTGAATGATAACATTGTGATATCAGACTTGGACAACTGTGTCCATGTGCTGTCACCTACTGGTGATCATCTGCAGCAGAATAACGGTAGTGGTGATGGTCAGTTGAATGGATCGTCGGGGTTATGCACAGACAGCTATGGTCATATCTTCATTGCTGATGGTCGTAACAATAGGATTGTAGCAATGAGTCCACAAGGGCAGTTCATCAAGTATGTTGCCACTGAAGATGATGGATTGGTAGGGCCAAGGGGATTAGCTATCAACCCTGCTGGTCTGCTGGTGGTGGCAGGGATGGGGGGTAAAGTTAAGACATTCAAGTACTTACAATAGATACTGTTCACACAAAGTACTAAGTACACTGACAACGATGGTATGCCGTTTAGAACAAGAATCCAGACCGCTGGTGGTAGCAGAGTCAAAGAATGATTAATTTCAGGTATTTTAGAATTGACAATTATAGCATTGCTCATCTATTGTGCACTGATAACATCATTATTATTAGTGCGCATCTATTGTTCACTGATAACATTATGATTAAAAGTGCTAATATCTATTGTTCACTGATAACATTATGATGATGTTTAAATCTTCTCATAGTACTGTGTGATACATTGTAAATAACAAAATTAATTAAGAATCGAATGCATCGATATGCCAAATCACCATGCTTCTTCAATAGTTCGAAGTATGTGAGGTATTAAAAAGGCACATTCAAATTAATAGACATGTAATTGAATTCTACTTACGTCATAACAGCTTGTTTGTACTGTCACATTATATCATTATTAATCAAGCAGGAAAAACAAAAACGATTGTCTGAAATCGTTTATCACTATTATTTATTTTGGTTGTCTCAATCACCTTTTCATTAGTTATAAAAATAATTTAAATTGTTTAAATGAACTAAGGCAGCGGGGGCAATATTGTTGATACCCTCGTGTAGACAAGTCAAAATACACACAAATGTAAATGTGCAGTTACTTCGTGTAATTTTGTTTAAATTTGGGCTGCAACTGATGGTGACGTTTTGTATAATGGGTGCCATTTTCATATCATGGAAACTTGATTATAGACAATTTGTTACAAAATTCATATGTGTCCTCGGTAATAAAAAACAATCTGACAACGAAACAGTTAGTCTTGTTATGTATTGTACATTTATATAATAGGGTCAAATACATGTAGATGTTACCCTGTGCAATCTGAAAATAATGAATCCGTTGGTGAAAGCTACTAAGACTTTTATACTTATATTGCAAATTTATCCATATAAGATAAGAGCCAATTATAAAAACCGAAAATCATTATCCTTTTGGAGCAAGTTTGATAATTTTCAGAGTAAAAGTAATACAATAGATCAATTAAGAATTAGGTTTTGAGATCAGATTAAAATGCACCTCTGCACTAGGATAAAAGCTGTTGAAAAAGCGTTCACTGCCTTTAAAGGTTAAGAGTCTACAAGTGATGATGCAGGATGAGAGTCTTCCATGGTGTAAGCAGTTTTTTTTTATTGACCATATGCAAAGAATCGAATTATTTGACAGAGCGATGGACTCCTCACATAAATGTCATTCATCTTTGTCAATGTTGGCAGACCTTTATTCAAGCTGCAAGCATAGCAGTGAGCAAAGAATTCTCTTTCTGCCTACACCCTTCACTTTTTTGGCCATTTTCAGCAAAATCGTATAATTTTGTGGAATTTTTCTCCGAAATAAATGCCCCCTATTACTACAACCTGATGTGGCCTGTTGTGAAGACGCAAAACGATTCCTTCCAGTCTAAAGACCTTCTATTATAAAAGTTAGCTATGATTGTGTTACATGTAGCTGCAAGGCCCTAGGATGGGATTGTGTTAGCTGCATTCTACTCACTTTGGTCCTCTAAGCTCAATAAGAAGGTAGCTGTCCATTATGTCTAACTTGAGCTGGTAGACAGGATTAGACTGGTGTGTGTCTGGATAGTTACCACACCCCCCTGCCGACCTGCCTTTCCACTGTCCTGTCAACTGGAACATGGAATAATTTACCTTCATTGTGGATGTGACCATACCGCATAATTGAAAAACATCATACGTAAAGTAACAACGTTTAATCATCTTATTTAAATGTATTATGACAGATTCACATGGGATTAAAATAGACCTAAATTTTCTGTCTTCTAATTTCAACAAACTTTCCACTTTAGCCCTTATTTTAATGTGAGTTCTCTTATCAGCTTACTGCAGCTTTTACCACAAGGCAGTACGGTAATTACATTAAATTTTCAAAAGCCCTACTTTTTCAAGATTAATCATTTTCAGACTTGCAAATTACAACAAGTAGTCCTTAACACAAAGCCAAACGATTTGTTAATTTTTTTTCTAACCGTTTTAAGTATTTAAATATATTTTTGGGGGATATGGATGGGAACAATCCATTTATATGCGAATTTTTTTGTTATGAATACGGTATGTTACATATCCGGCACTGAATCAAGCGTTTTTTCAAAGAAGCATGATGTTTTCGTGAGCAGAAACATGGTTTGTTGCGGTTTGGTGATTTATGAATAATAACAACCACAAGGTATACTGTAGAAGTTTGACATGTGACATGCTAAGTGCGAGTAATTGTGTACCTAGTAATTGAAATCTTATTCCGGTTTAAGTGCAGAAAACTTGATTAAATCCAGGCATGAGAAGTGAGCAAGTCAGTGAATAGGCTCAGTTATTAATATCAACCCTTTTTGTCTTAGAATTAAAACCATTTTAAACATGAATTAAAAATTTTTATATTTATAATTTTTTGATGTCATCAAAAACGTTTTGTCTATGTTATGTTTAAGAGAGAAAACTTACAATGAAACGGTGTTGGGCCCCATACTTTCTAATAACCCTGTTATATCATTGCTCCAGTTAGGTTTTAAACTCCTCCGTATCCGCATTGCTTTTTATTGTTAAACAGTATTGCACGACAAAGAGCGCCATTGATTACAACTCTCATTTCACAATGCATGCAGGACGTTTGCTGAACGTGTTGATACTGGCTGCGTTTGCCGTACTGGTAAGCATCTATCTCATTCTCTCTCTCTCTCTCTCTCTCTCTCTCTGTGGGGGAGAAAGCATCCACTGAACAAAATACATTAATGGATTTGATATAAAAAAAGGGAAAATAAAACTTTTCTTACAACGAACGCAACTTGAACAGCAGGACAATAGTGCTGAGGTTTCAGTTTCGTTGTAATTTTATAAAGTACCGGTAGATATTTTCGGAATATGGTCCACTATTATCAAGTCTTGACAATTGCTATTATTCATGTCTGTAATACTACCACCGACGTAGAATCCAACTTTATTTCTATAATTAACAGCTGACTTATACAATCTAATGTTTTCATATGACTTCCTTTTTATTATTTCAGGAGACCTGTGGATATACAGGCAAGTTTATCTTGGAATTTCAGATCGTTGCAAAAAGGTCATTTAAGTGTTTTAACTTTTGATAAGTACATTCAACCGTTTTAACGGATAAATTTAAAATTAGTTCGAATAAGTTAGTTTAAACAGACGAACGGAATGCACCTCAATAGTTCAGCTACGTGGGTTAAATAACATACATATATATTCTTGTTAACACATTGGTTTCATACAAAACGCATTATAAAGAAGCCACGCATGATAGCGTTTAGTTTTAAATCTATTTATTTATTTAACAATATTTTTCTTAGCACTTTGATACAAATTAAATTCTCTCATCTCTCTCATAGAAGTTAGATTACATTAAGGTTAGGAGCGTATATTTGCTACCCTTCCTTTCCCTATAGACTTCGTTCGGCAAATCTGCAACAGTAGGCATTTGGTTTAAATAATGTAATATTCGTAGGGCAAAAATTGTTTGATTTTTGTTTGATTTGGGTTGTTTCACTTCTGTGTCCTGCCCCTGGATACTCAATTACTGCACTTTGTGGAGGGAGAAGGGAGTATGAGTGTNTCGAAGAGGCCAGGCGTAACAACGACCATTACTGTGACTAGCAACTGACATGAGGGTCTTTTGTGGAGCGTATTACAGACGATAATTTGGAAAATATGGAGATCCAAAATCTCTCTTTTAATGGGAGTCGTATGACATAGAATAGGCAATGTGTTTTTGTTTGCTTCTCTGGCGAATTCCATTAATGAACTGATGTCACAATGACATCAAAGAGATAATTTAAAGTTATTAAAACACGATTTTAATCCTTATTTTCATTTATCAGTCAGCAAAATAGGAAAAAACTGATAAAAAATTATTTCGAAAAAAATATTCCATATTAAATGTCAAGTCTGTATATTCTTGTTAACACATTGGTTTCATACCAAACGCATTATAAAGAAGCCACACATGATAGCGTTTAGTTTTAAATCTATTTATTTATTTAACAATATTTTTCTTAGCACTTTGATAAAAATTAAATTCTCTCATCTCTCTCATAGAAGTTAGATTACATTAAGGTTAGGAGCGTATATTTGCTACCCTTCCTTTCCCTATAGACTTCGTTCGGCAAATCTGCAACAGTAGGCATTTGGTTTAAATAATGTAATATTCGTAGGGCAAAAATTGTTTGATTTTTGTTTGATTTGGGTTGTTTCACTTCTGTGTCCTGCCCCTGGATACTCAATTACTGCACTTTGTGGAGGGAGAAGGGAGTATGAGTGTGTGTGTGTGTGGGGGGGGGGGGAGGCTGCAGAACCTCTGAAGCTGTTCATATTTTCGGACTCGCATTTGGTCTTTGTGTATAAAGATATGTACGCGTGCAAATATTTGTTAACCATAGTTTTCCTGTTTTCACAGATACATTGGCATTGCTTCATAACAAACATCTATTATATTTGCATATGAACATGTGACAACGTCATTCCCGCATAGTGAGGGATTGGTCATAAGAAAACCGCATGGAGCTGAAAACTTAACTATTTAGCACCTTTTTCCAATCAACGAAGACATTGGTCGGTCGCTATGCTCTGCACCCTGAAGTTCACTAGTAAATAAAACTACTCTGTCAATAAACAAATATCGCCATTCATTATTGTTAAATCAGCAGTATACCAGCTGACGGTTCTTTGTTTATTCAAACACAGCATTCATTTCTGTTAAAGTATTAGGTCAATCTAGCATATTGACTTTAAGGGACCATTCCCACAGATATTTGTATCGATCTATCTCCCTGGGGAGTATCACTAAATTGCTATCAAACTAACCGGCTTAAACGTATGTCACGCTTAGTAAAACTGTGAGGGGGCAATTATCTTTACCCCTAGCTGATTCGGTAGGCGTGACAGACATTTAAATCTCTTGAGCTGATAGCAATTTAGCGTGAACCCCCAGGGAGTTAGGTCGATCCAGATGGATTTATCTAAATATGGGAACCCAGTCTACGTGTTTGTGAACCACACAATATATCACTTAAGGTATTTGGTTATTATACCTCTCTCTCATTCATAAATAGGTAAGGCGCTAATGTTAACACACTCTATTGTCGACCGTAGTAGCCCAATATGTAGGCTTGAATTTACTGTTTGTATACCCGCTTATTGCAACAAACTTCAGTGCAAGAGCAATATAACATGTAGGAAGAGATGCAACAAAAAATCAAAATAGACAAGATATCATTTTCAAAAACAAAGAAAATGATGTAATAAAAAATCTAAATACACATAAAAATATATAGGGCTTTAAAATGTAAAAAAAAACAATTAAAAAAGCATTGTAGCCATAGTTACCCCAAAAATGATGTAAACAAATAAACAAACAATCCGCCCGACAATCCACGCGCGGTGGTAACCGTCGCGTTGATTTCTTACTTTTATCTCTCATTGTGGCTTCAAATTACAGAAATCCTCGGCAATCCTCAATGAAGTCCACAAAATAGACCTTCCGCCTGTCGCCACATTACATTGTGCCTTAATATTTCAGAGATACTCTGTCAACCACTACAAAAACCTCAAAATGTTTTTTTTTCTGTAAGGCAGTGTGCGTTCCGGCCCTCGGTCAGAATGACATGCTCAGTAATATGCTATCACGGTTACGTAGTACAAGGGCAGGGCAGTGTGGTCTGTAAGAATGATGGAACGTGGAGCGGTACACCTGGATATTGCAGAGGTAATGAATATCAAATGAACCATTCTGCTTTCTTCTGGCGCTTTTACATTCAAATTGGGGCGACCTTATTTAGAATTGCAATAGCAAAATGATTGATAACATTATCTAAGCATGGGGAGTCGTTCTCAATTCATTCAAGTAATCCAAACCATATAGTTGTTTTTTTGTTTGTTTTTCTTTTTACTAGCCAGATGTACACACATCATTTGTTTTGTTGAGGGATAAAAAATACTAACGTAATATTAAAGTCAGCAATCACTACCGAGTACCGTTGAATTAAAATATTCAAAATAATTTCTTTTCAATTGATCGACGCCATTCTATTACATATTTCACCAGTTTTATTATCAATTATATGATACAGATAACCAAAGTCCCATCATTAGACACGAAACAAGTAACATAATTGTCAATGCTGCTTAAAATATTCAAAATAATTTCTCTTCAATTGATCGACGCCATTCTATTACATATTTCACCAGTCGTTATTATCAATTATATGATACAGATAACCAAATGCCCGTCATTGGACACAAAACAAGTAACATATTTGTCAATGCTGCTTTGGACAGTAATCAAGCGGTTGTAAATTAGGAACAAGACAAGCCAAGAGTGACAGACAACTCCGGAATGGTGCCAAGTGTGAGACTTTACATAGGCGGACGAGAAATAAAAGGTAATAGCCAATAACGCAACTGGACCTTTATGACATTGTTCCCGCCATACCGACGAGTTGATTCTTGAAAGCTTTATTTGTCGTTATGTTTCTTGCAATTACTCAATTTGAAGTTAAAAATATTACAAACTGTTACAAATTGCTCCATTTTTCAAGCTAACTGAATCCGTTGTAAAGACCAAAAGACTTTAGTTTTTTTTTATATGTTCAATAAACAATTGATCTACCAGGGAAGTGATTTATTTATATTCTCTAAACTTTCCCTTATCGCGGTAAAGGATATAGAGATTGGGTCGAGGTAGAGAGTTAGAGGGTCATGGTATCTGTAAGATAACTTGGGATTGGGTGACCTTATTCTCAAAGAGTACATTCAGAACAGATGATCCGCGGACTAAATATGGCAACCCGACATAAAAGAAGAGACGAATAATCCGCTGGTCTTCCCGCCTCCGCATGCTCCATTAAACGTATAAAATCACGGCTACGAGGCTTAATTGCCAGACCCCTGCAGGGACTGCGCGTGCGGAGGCGGGGACACCATCAGCAGATTAATCTGTTCTGCTTTAATGCTGGTCGCTCATATTGAATCTGTTAGTCTGCAGATCAACTTGTTATAAAGGCCCTCAAAGAACAATCTGCCACTTGCACTGAAACCATGCAGAAACAGATGACTGTTCTTAAAACATCAACATAGTGCCTTTCTCGGGTTCTCCAAAAGAGGTAGAGAATAAATACTTTTTTTTAGATTACGTTAAAAGCAAAATCACTGTCTTTATAGGTGGGGGCTATAGACATACTTTCAAGATAGGTGTAACCACAGTGAAATACGTGTTTACAGATGACAGTGGTAATAGCGCCGATTTCTTCTTCAGAGTGAAAGTCCGAGGTAGGTATGAAATAAGGCACTATATTCGTTCTTTCAGTGGACATAGAGAGTTATTTAGGCAATTATAAGCACATCGTTTTACCAGAGGGGTATAATGTCGATTACCCCCCCCCCAACCGATAAGTCCCCACACCGATACTCTCGTGCACCGTTACTCCCCCCCGCACCGCTACTCCCTCCTTGTAAATTTTTGCATTATGCGCATCGATACGATCCAACACCGATAGATCCCCGCATCGAAACAGTCCATGTAAAATTACCATTAAAAGCGCACCCTACACTGATACTTCACTGGATATTTGCTTCCCCGCATCTTCACTCCCCTCATTACTCTCTTTATGCAATTTTCTTTAACCGATATGTTACTCATCGTTATTATATTAAAAAAGACCATATGCATTTGATAAGTAGGCTAGTTGCGAGCAGAGAGCGAATTGGAAAATATTTATTTTTCATCAATGAAAAAATGATATGTCCCGCAGTGATTGTAAATTTCATTTTAACATCGTTATCAAACATCGCTAATCTTTGTCAGCGACAGGTCTCTTACTATATCCTTTCTTTTGACTTGCTTAACCGGGATAGCTATCAGTTATATAAGGGTGGTGCAAGACAAACAATTCTAGCTGTTCGTTATTGGTTGCTTCATCACGATCTCGCCGCATATGCTGGCAATGTGCACCACCGCATGTGTTATACATGTCGGGATGCAGGAATCGTGGTCTTCTAGCTGAGTGTGCTAGCATACTCTGTTTGAATTTCCCATTCATTTGTTCTACATACTAAACCCAATACCTAAGTAAATCACACGAAGTGGTGGAGTAGCGGTGTGCTAGAGTATCGGTAGGGGAGAGCATCGGTGTTGGGACGAAAAAAAGGGGGTATGTCCAGGGGAGTATTGTTGCGGGGGAGTGTCGTTGCGGGAGGTAACGTTGCGGGGACGTATAGGGATGAAGAAATCCCTGTATGGGAGAAAAGGGGGAAAGAGGGGTTTCCTATAATCTTATCATGTATTTGACCTTTTTACACATTATTTAGTTATGCAGTCCTTTACTTTGGGGTAAGGGAATGGTAAGAGGTCCTGGATCAAGCAAGTGAAGTTTTGGTGATCTGCAGCTACTGTTATTTCCGAAGCGGAATCATCACTACTATTACGTGTGTTAGCCTCACGTTTGATTAGAAAATAGGCCTACGTGTTTAGTTTCACATCACATAAGACTGGAATATAATTGTTAAGAAGGGTATAGACTGTTCACAGGAAAAGATGGACATATGTTTAAGTGCTTGTCAACGCATCACGTGACCTCCATAATGGTTACACTCTGTTATAAACTCTTAAGAGAATAAATATTACAAAAAACCTTTTTAGAAAAAAACAGGGACTATTTTTGAGTGTGGGAATGGATTCGTTAACCATTGGGAAGTATGGGAAAATTGTCCTTTACCCCAGGAAAATTTATTTTTGGCCAAAATGAACAGTTGTTATCCCTTTAAAGTAATACAACCATTTCCCTTTCGCTTATTACTCCCCGTGAAGATGTCCAGCCACCGACCATAACCTGCCCCAAAGTTGACCCAGTGGTGTCTACGGACAGAGAGGTCGACGTGTCCTGGGTCCAGCCAACGGTAACGGACAACAGTGGCAAACCCGTGACGGTGGTCAGCAATGTTAGTCCAGGGAAGTTTTACTGGGGGAGGTACAAGATAGTCTATGACGCCAGAGATGAAGCTGGAAACCGCGCAAGTTGCTCTTTCACGATTCACGTACAACGTGAGTAATCACTGTTTGTATGCCAACTACTTACGAAAACATAAATTTTCTTATGCAGATAAAGGGTGAAAAAACATGAAAATTTTATCAAATCCAAGAAAGGTCCATTAAATTAAAAAAAAATTGCTGGACTTAAACTGCAGTATATGACATGATCATTAGCTAAAGTTTCATTTCCTGGTCGCTTGCATAAAAGCATGTTCTTTAAAATGCTCCAAATGGCCTCCGAGGGATTGGTGGCACGCTTCCACACATCGCAAAAAACGTCAATTTCTCAAACATGTTCCTCCTTCGGGATTTCCCTGATTTTTGCTGTGATTGCCGTCTTCATGCAGTTCGCCAATAATCTGAGGGTTGTTCTGGTACAAATTGTCCTTGAGATACCCCCACAGATAATATTCTGATGGGGGAGATTCAACTCCGGTGTGTGCCGTGCCCACTCAACTTAACATGTCAGGGACAGATCAGCAGGAAGTGTGATGTTGTGTGGGCACGGCATTCTTAGGACTTGAACGCCCACCCCAGATTTTTTCTGAGTGGGTATCTCAAGGATAAGGTGTACCAGAACAACCCCTCAAACAAGTGGTGAACTGAAGGCAACAATCACAGCAAAAATCAGGAAAACCCTCAAAGAGAAATGTGTTCCAGTAATTAAAAAAAATTTTGCGCGATGTATGCAAGTGTGCCTCCAATGCCGTGGGGGCCATTTGGAGTATTTTTTTAAAGATACGTTTTATGCAAAGCAACCAAGATAACTGAATCTTTGGGGAATGATCTTGCACATACTGGAGTTTAAGTCCCGCATTTTTTTAAAAATTTGATGAACCTTTGAGGAATTAAAAAAATTATGGGGTTCTGTATTTTTTATTTTTTATTTTTATTTATATATTTTAGCGGGCCCCGAACCCCATGCCAAGTGGGGGAGGGGGGGAGGGTCGGCTTCGCATCCACGGACCCCCCCCCCCCCTTCATATATTCCTTGATCCGCCCCTGTTACATTAATTATGTGGTAATACCATAGTTCAAATCCACTAATTTTGGAAACGTGCTCATTCCAGCCCACAAGTGCTTGATCTCCACACACCTATCAACGGAGCTGTCAGCTGTGACATGGCTGGATTCGGAATGCTCTGTACACTCCAGTGCCAAAACCCGTACGATTTCGACTTGCCAGCCGGCATGACGTCCGTGCCAAACTACTACGCGTGTGGAGGGGCTGGAAGGTGGACTCCAACCACCCTAGTGCCCGACTGTACTCGTAAGTGCTGGTTTTTAATCTATTTAATGCAAGGATTTGTGTGTGTGTGTGTGTGTGTGTGTGTGTGTGTGCATGTGTGTGTACAAGGAAAGTGATTTGCAATCGTTTATCAGTAGTTACAACCATGTCATATCGTTTGAAATACACTGAATAGCATCATTATAAATTCAAATAATGTATCTGTATTGTATTGTATCTTCAAAGCGCTCATGTTGCATGATACCAGAATCCAAATGGCAACATCGTTGGGACCTTATACTACGATAATGAATGCCGGGATCCTAGGGTCCAGAAGCAAATCAAAGAAAATGCTGTAAGCTCTTTCAAAAGGTCTCCTTTTGCTTCGTCATGTAATTGCAACGTCACAGTCAAAGACTTCAGAGTCATCTGCGGTGCCATCAACACCAGTGCTGTGCGTGGAACACCAGGTACGAGATAAAATGTCCATTGGCGTTTCTTTGCCCAGAGGAAAAAGTGTGCCCCCCCCCCCTTTAAATACACCAATGTAGTCGATGATAATAATATGATGAAATGATACAAATAAGAATGAAGGATGGTTAATGATCAAAACCGGGGCAGCTCACAAACACAGATATTCAATAAAAATAACTATAATAATAATAATTATTATTATTATTATTATTATTATTATTATAAGCTTAAGAAAGAAAGAAGAAAACAACATAATACCTAGTTTTCATTTATTTTTTTTTTCACAAGTATGATATTTTGTACGCTTCCCATGTAAAAGCTACGTTTTTACATTTTATATTTTATACGTAATATGTTTTAATGATATAATATGTAAGTCCTCAAAATGATGGATCGCTTATTGTGTCTTCGCCTAATTTAGACTGGCTTCCCGTACCTAC